CCCCCACCGCTTCATTCTTCTTTCAAACAGCAGGGATGGAGAAGAGACCCGTTCCCCCAGCTCTCCTTCCCCGGACACTCAGCCCTAACTGCTCCGCCCAGGCCGCTGTGTGTATCTTTTATGTAAACACCCGCCCCCACCAGTGAGCCCTAAATAGAATCTGTTTATAGTGAACACCAGTTGCCTTGAGACAAATCTGGGCTCAGTCTGCAGCTAAGTCCTGGTGATTTTACTTCTAAAATAACTGCGAGTCTCTCACTCCTCCGTTTGCCCGCGTTCCGGTCCTCATCAGCTCTTGACCATCGCCCACACTGGCTGACCTTTCTAACATGCCAGCACCACCGTACAGGTAACTTGGGGGTTGTATCAGTTAGTTTCCTCTATGTAACAAAGAGCCCCAAACCTTAGTGCCTTAATCAACAAACATTTGTTATTTCTCCTGAGTCTGTGGGTTGACTGGGCATTTCTTCGTTTCCGTTAGACAACTGTGGGGGCTCAGCTGGGATGCCTGGGGCCTCTGTCTGTGTGATTTCTCACCCTCCCGGGCCGGGGGCGGGGCGAGCTCAGGGTGTTAATGTGGCAGAAGCGTGGTTCATTCCCAGCAGCGAGACAGGAAGTTCTGAGCATGAGCACTTTCTAAGCCTTTATTCGGGTCACATTTGCTATTGGCCCAGAGTCAACGGATGGAGAAATCAACTCCACAGCAAAGGGGTGTGCGTAGGAGGTGTGGTGAGCAAGTCTGGGCCTTACCGCCGTCTCCCACCCCAGCAGCTAAGACAGGGGTGGGCACACTTTTTGACTCAGGGCCACAATGGGTTCTTAAACTGGACCGGAGGGCCGGAACAAAAGCATGGATGGAGTGTTTGTGTGAACTAATATAAATTCAAAGTAAACATCATTACATAAAAGGGTACGGTCTTTTTTTTTTTTTTTTTAGTTTTATTCATTTCAAATGGGCCGGATCCGGCCCGTGGGCCGTAGTTTGGCCACGGCTGGGCTAAGAGGAGGACTTGGGCCCGGATGAGGAATGGGGTGTCCGATTGTGTTGGATCCTGGACCACCGACTGCCTTTGTCATGCTGGGCAGGTTGACTTGCCTGTGCTCTCCAGGACACAGCTGCCTGGTTATCCCCGGGGAATAATCCGCGTGGCCCTGGCTGATTTCCTGAGGGATCGGACGGGAGACCTGGGGCTGCACACGTCTCAGTGTTTGGGCTGCGGTCAGAGCTCAGCTGGGCGTCCGTTCTGACCCCAGAGACCGTCTTCCAAAGACACTTCCCGTCTGGCCTCAGCGGATCTCATGCTTTTTCACATCTTTTTCTCTTTTTTTGACATTTTAAATATATTTTTTATTGACTCCAGAGAAGATAGGAGAGGGAGAGAGAGACAGAAACATCAGTGCTGAGAGAGAATCATTGATCACCTGCCTCCTACACACCCCACACTGGGGATCAAGCCCACAACCTGGGCCTGTGCCCTGACCAGGAATCGAACCGTGACCTCCAGGTTCATAGGTCGACACTCAACCCCTGAGCCGCACCGGCCGGGCTTTCACACCTTCCTTTATCCTCGCTCCTGGGAGACACTTTCTGAGTCTTTTCTTTCTGCCAGACAGCATCTCACCGGCACTTTGATGGAGAAGCAGGTGGAATATTAACTCCTGTTCAGATTCTTCTTTGACCAAGTTGGTCTTTTTCCTTCAGTTCTCCCGCATGTCCCTCCCAGCCCTGTGACCCAGTGGCCCCCAGGGACTTGTCTACTTGCCTGTTTTCTTTTTTTTTCTTCTTCTTTTTATTATTAGTTTCAGAGAGAGGAAGGGAGAATCACTGATCAGCTGCCTCCTGCATGCCCCGCACTGGGTGGGGAATGAGCCCACAGCCTGGGCCTGGGCCCTGACCGGGAATTGAACCGTGACCTCCAGGTGCATGGGTTAATGCTCAACCCCGGAGCCACACCAGCCGGGCTCCTTGTCTGTTTTCTTCACCTGGCTGAGCCCTTTGAGGGCATCGGTTATGATTCACTCACCGTTCTCCCTCTGGCACTGGGTCTGTGCGTGGGAAAAAACAGGTGTTGACTTAGGAAATGCTTGATGTCTGAAGTCCTGGGCGAGCGGGGAAGTGGGTGAATGTCTGTGCACCTGACTCACCTTCAAAAGGCAGTGGGCGCACAGGCGTCCAAACTCACTCACACTTCCTCTTCTCTCCGTCCAGCGGGTCCCGCCTTCAGACTCAGCATTTCTGACCTGGAAATGCCAACAGGACTCACCGGCATCACCAGGGGCTGCGGTGGCCGGACACGCTGAGCCTGCGGCCAGGACCGTTCTGTCGGAGGACGAGATGGACAGTCCCTCCACTGACTGAGGTACATGTCAACTTAAGAAACGGTCCCACCTGTAGAGAGTTTTTGTGAGTTGATTTGAGCCAAACTGAGGACTCTTCCCCAGAAGCAAAACCTCACCGGACTGAGCGAACGCTCGGGAGAATGGCAGTTCTGCACCTGTTTCATACATTACAGTCAAAAGAGGAGATTAAGTGGGTGACGCGGACTCCATTGGTGATAGGCTGGGGAGGCGGGAGAAAGCGAAGGGGGGCACATCTGGGATTGGGTAAAAAGTAAAATGATAGACACATGCATCTTTTACTTACACAGGGGGCTGCAGGAAGTTAGCAGTCAACAGCGATCATGAATGAACATGATAACCATGAGCGGATCTGTGGTCCCCGGAGAGCAGAGCCTGTGCTGGGAGGGGCTGGGGAAAGGGAAATGACTTTGTCTTGGCAAAGGCCTGTTATCAGGTGTGTTATCCTAGAGGCAAAAAGACCACAGACAGGCTCAGTCGATGTGGAGATGGACCTTTGGCAGGGAAAACACTGCCCTAGGACAGGACTACCCGCCGCAAACCGCTTTTAGTTAGAAAGTTTACATTTCAGACCATCCTACGCGGTTACTTGCCACCTCTGAGGTTGCCAGGCTGCCACACAGGCCTCCCGAGCTTGTCAGGCTGGGTATGTGGCCCCGTTTCGTGCACATAAATGACTCACGAACCTTCCCCGCAGGGGTGAGAGGTGTTATCTTTCTGGTTTCTCCCTTGGATCTTGCTGGTGGGGGCAGGGACGTGTCCCCTTTGCGTGGTCTCTTGGTAATTTGGCTTGTTCTCGTGGGATAGTCCCCAAGGAGGGAATTCCTTCTCCCTCGGGGAGGAATGCAGGCCTCTCTTTCCTAAAGGGAAAGGGAGCTCTCATGAAAACTGGTGAGCACCGGCCTGCATGGGGACTTCCTCCGTGACAAGCGCCCGTGCAGGAGGCCTGAACGCCCCCCTGGGTGTGTCCTGGAGGGAGAGTCAGCAAACAGCTGTGACGTGGACATTTTTTGTAAATAAAGTTTAACTGGCGCAATGACACTTCGGGTATTTAAAAGAACGGTTCAGGCGTGGCTGTGGCATGTCTGTCACATGGCAGTTGCCGCTGAGACCGTGTGGGCGCAAAGCCTAGAATGTTCAGTCTGGTCCCAACGGAAGATTGTGTGTGTGTGTGTGTGTGTTCTGTTCTACATGCTTATTGGTGAGGACATCTATCTATCTCCCTCCCTCCCTATCTGTCTATAAAAGTGGAATTACTTTTAAGATCTCTTTGGGCAGCCGACCTATGGTCTCTGTATGTGAGTCCATGTAGAAACCAAGCCACTAGGGCCTTGGGATTTACTAGTTTTATATATGCAACCAGGTAGGTAAGATGTGAGCTTAAGCCCGTCCCAGTCCCAGGCAGATGAGGCATGTGGGGCCCCCACAATGGCTGTAGGGTCCCGGGGGCTGAAGAGAGAGAGGCAAGGAGGTAAGAAAGGAGGAGAGGGAGAGAATGAGCTAAAGATACGCTGTCTGGAAGTCCCGGGAGAGTGTGGAATGGTGGGGTGAAAGGTGTAGGGAGGGGGTGGGAGTTTACTTTGGGTGAACCCCGAGCACAGTAAGGATGACACCTCAGAGCTGGGTGAGCACAGGCGTTCTGTCCAGCACAGGCTTTACCTGGAGCACATTGTGTCCCCAGCTCCCAGCTCCCAGGGGAGATGCAGAATTCGTATTGATGAATGCTAGCTTCATGCATCAACAAAGATTTCTGAGTTCCTTCTATGTGCCAGGCACTGTTCTAGGCAGACAAAGACCCAGAGCATTCGCATCCTAGCGAGGAGTGGGGGAGGGGAGAGGCCGAGGGACAAAATAGGTATGAATGTCAGGGCTGGGCAGGCGGGGGTAGGGGGGCAGCTTAGGTGTGATGGTCCTGGAGGTGTTCCTGGGACTCAATCCAGTGCTGAAAAGAGATCAACAGTGAGGGGGAGAGGGGTTGTGATGGGGGAGCTACAGGAGGGTTGCTGCTCAAAGGACAGGCGGGATGCCTGGCCCCCTCTGCCTGGAGACCAGGCCTGTCCAGGCCTGTTTTGTCCCCGAACATCCTTCCAGGCTTGAACACTCTCCCTAACACTGGGACGTTTCCTCCCCCAATGCCTGCTATCAGCTAGCCCTGAAGCGACGGGACCCAGGCATTCCGATGAGATAAGAGGAGTCCCGACAGTTTAGATAGAGTGGGCCCCAGTGGGAGCTGGTGGAATTTCTGCAGCTGATAACCTTTCAGAAGAGGGCCGCAGGGTCGGAGCAGGGTCGTTTCTCTGGAAGACTGGAGACCGGGAGACGGCAGTTCAGGCTCTTCTTTCTTCTTTCATTCACTCACTCACTCACTCACTCACTCAGTCACTCACTCACGCACTCACTCATTCACTCACTCGTTCACTCCCTCCCTCACTCATTCACTCACTCACTCATTCACTCTCTCATTCACTCGCTCACTCACTCACTCATTCACTCACTCGCTCATTCACTCACTCATTCACTCACTCATTCATTCACTCACTCACTCACTCATTCACTCCCTCACTCATTCATTCACTCACTCACTCACTCATTCACTCCCTCACTCATTCATTCACTCACTCACTCACTCATTCACTCCCTCACTCATTCATTCACTCACTCACTCACTCATTCACTCCCTCACTCATTCATTCACTCACTCACTCACTCATTCACTCCCTCACTCATTCATTCACTCACTCACTCACTCATTCACTCCCTCACTCATTCACTCACTCACTCACTCACTCATTCACTCATTCACTTACTCAGCAAACACTCCCAGATCCCTGGCACCAGGCCACACACTGGAGGTGAAAAGGATAAGACAGAGCTATGTCCTCAAGATGTTAGTAATTCAGTGGCGAAGCAGACACATGAACGAGGCGGTTGTACGCACAGACACCGTCCTGGGCTCGGTGAGGGCTGCCACTCATGCCGACTTTGTTCTCCTGATGAAATGGGGCCAGTCCCACCCACCAGGGGCGGTGGGCCCCCAGTTGTAGAGGGTTCCAGAGAGTGGGCCCCTGACTGAACAAGCCTGGCAGGCCTCCTGGCCGCCTCTGCAGCTCTCGGAGCTGGGCAGGTATTTTGTGGCTGCGTGACTGGTTCCCCGTCGGTGATGGAGAAAGGAGATGATCATAGCACCCACCTGCCAGGGTTCGTCAGGATTAAATGAGACGATGACTCACAAAGCTGGGCACCGTGCCTGGCACATAGTAAATGCTCACTAAATATAGACGCGACACCACTAGTAGTATTTATAGCCAAGGCACACTCTGGGGGCACTGGGGTGGGCTGTGAGGATAGGAACAGGGCGCCCCCAACTGCTAGATGGGGGAACATGTCTGCCTACAGCAGCAGATTTCAACCTTTTACATCTCATGGCACACATAGACTAACGACTACAATTCTGCCACACACAAACACACAATTAATTAGTTAATTTAAAAATTTATAAGAAGGTATTTAAAAAATTCTGCCATACATAAAAACATATTCTATTTTTGCCAATCTGACCCCCCAAGAAAGGTAATAATTTTGATTTATTTGCACCAATGGCTATTGTTGTGTTGGCTGTGGTCATTTCCTTACTTGACAACCTAAGGCCGTGGTCGGCAAACTGTGGCTCACGAGCCACATGCGGCTCTTTGGCCCCTTGAGTGTGGCTCTTCCTGAGCCTTAGGAGTACCCTAATTAAGTTAATAACAATGTACCTACCTATATAGTTTAAGTTTAAAAAATTTGGCTCTCAAAAGAAATTTCAATCATTATACTGTTGATATTTGGCTCTGTTGACTAATGAGTTTGCCGACCACTGACCTAAGGGAAAGGCTCAGAGCCCCTGACGAGTGGGAATTACGTGGGAAGTCGCTGGCTTCCAGGGGCGGGTGGACGTCACGGTTATCTGGCGGCTGGACCCAGAGGCCTTGGCAGTGCCAGTGTCCCAGGCACAGAGAGCTGCCAGGGGCATGGAAATTTCCCAGGTGCCTCTAGAAGCCAAACTTATTGATCGAGTCACCCTCAAGACACTGGTTTTTATCTGGTCATGCCTGGCTGATGGACAACTGGCTTTTAGCAGTGATCTTTGTTCCCCAAGGGCGCCCAGCTGTGTCTGTCCGCCTTTCAGGGTTATGTCACCGATGGCCCTGGGCCAGAGTCCAGATTCCATAACAGGAGGGACAAGGCTGACCATGACCTGGGCCTCGCCAAGATCCCCACCCCGCCCCACCTTCTGCGAATCCCAGAGTAATTTTAAGAGTAATTTTACAAGCGCAGACTCTGAAGACAGATGGCCCAAGTTCAAATCCCACTCCTGTGCCCTCTTGAGCAAGCCGCCTAAGCTCTCTTCATCTGCAAAATGGACACAAGAGATGACGATAGCACCAGCTGCATGGGATTAACCTGTTAATATACGTGGGAATGCTTAGCGACCCGACGGCGAGTGTGTCATGTACAGCATCCTCTAGGGGTGCCGGCACTCACCTGGGCCCGGGCTGGATGACTGTGACAGCCTTACACGCCCCCCTTCCCGACAGGAGGCCACAGTCTGTGTTGAGGCCGGACCAGCCCTCGTGGTTCTTACTGTGATTGTAGCTGCACCTCAGAAATAACCACCAGGGGACTTTGGGGACTGATCCCCCACAAACTAAGATTTATTCCTCACACAGATCCTGGAGGGGTGCATAGCACTCCCTGGGTCACACGGCGGGGGGGCGCGGGGGGTGAGAGAGATAAAGTGAGGGAGAGGGAGACTGGCACACTGGGCTGGGGTTCTGCCCCTATAGGGGTGGAGGTGGGGTGCCTAGTTTCCCTTCGCTGGAGAATGTGAAACATAAGAGGGGAACTAGGGCACGGGGTGGGCGAAGCGGGGTCACTCTGATGGCCACTTAGCCAAGGCTCTCTAAAGGGGGACCTTCCTGGCTGGGCGGCCCAGCTGCCACCCAGCTGTGCGGCCGGCCGTGTGTTCACTCCAGGTGGGTGTCCTTAGGCGGCTGCTGGCACTCAGAAGCTCACAGCCTCTCTGCCCGTCCCTGGTGCTCAGCACATTGCCTGGCATTCACCTGTCAGATCCCTGCAGTTCATGCTACATCCCAGGACATGCGCAATCCCACGGGACATGCTACATCCCAGGACATGCTACATCCCACGGGACATGGTACATCCCAGGACATGCGCCATCCCACGGGACATGCTACATCCCACGGGACATGCTACATCCCACAGGACATGCTACATCCCACAGGACATGCTACATCCCAGGACATGCGCCATCCCACGGGACATGCTACATCCCACGGGACATGCTACATCCCACGGGACATGCTACATCCCAGGACATGCGCAATCCCACGGGACATGCTACATCCCAGGACATGCTACATCCCACGGGACATGCTACATTCCACGGGACATGCTACATCCCATGGGACATGCTACATTCCACGGGGCAGGCTATATCCCATGGGACATGCTCAATTCCATGGGACATGCTACATTCCATGGGACAGGCTATATCCCATGGGACATGCTACATTCCACGGGACATGCTACAATCCCATGGGCATGCTACATCCCACGGGACATGCTACATTCCACGGGACATGCTACATCCCATGGGACATGCTACATTCCACGGGGCAGGCTATATCCCATGGGACATGCTCAATTCCATGGGACATGCTACATTCCATGGGACAGGCTATATCCCATGGGACATGCTACATTCCACGGAACATGCTACATCCCATGGGACATGCTACATCCCACGGGACATGCTACATTCCAAGGGACATGCTACATCCCACAGGACATGCTACATCCCATGGGACATGCTACATTCCACAGGACATGTTCAACCCCACAGGACAGGGCTGGGTCCCCTTGGCCCGGCAGCCTGTACTCCGGCTACCCTGGCAATGGTGTTACTGGCTGCCCTGTCCCGTCAGGCTGAGGACCCACACACACACGAGGTTTGCCCCAGAAGCCTTTGCTGCCTGGCCTGCCCATTGCTCCCTCGGAGCTCCCGGGCACCCCCATGTGCCCTCTGCCTGCACTGTCTGTGGACAGACTGTCCTAGGCCTGGAGTGCCCCTCCCTACTTGTCACCCAGCAAGTCCTCTGCTGCTCTTAGGAACTCAACTCCCGGGCCAACCTCCCTGGGAGGCCATCCCCGAGGCCCATCGACCTCAGCAGCGCGGGCCTGCCCCCTGGTGGCACGTGTTCTCATGGCGTCACAGTGGCCCAGGAGGCCCTGCCCTCAGAGCCGCCAGTGTAGAGCCGGGCAGTGGTCATTGTTAGTATTTTCCGGAGTGATGGTGTTCCCATAGAGCTTCAGTGCCTGGCTTTGCACCTGGCACGGGGTGGGCAGCCAGGATATGGGGATGAATCCGTGAACCTCTGAGCCTCATGATCTGGGCAAGGCCCTGCCTTTTCCCTGCCAGCACCCCATGCTGGGCTCGGGCCAGGTGGGCTCTCTGGGGTCCCCGGGCAGTAAACCCAACCGCCTCCTCCAGGGGCACCATTTCCGGCACAGTCGGGATTTGAGCCCAGCAACCTGACCCCTGGGCCTTGGTTCACGACCCAGTGCCAAGCTGACGTGCATCACATAGGACTCAGAGCTGGAGGGAGTCCTGGTGGGTCAAACTCATCCTCTCCACCTCTTCCCCAGCTGACAGTGTTGCCCAGAGAGGCTGAGTAATTTGTGCAAGATCACACAGCATTCAGAGGAGAGGAGATCGGATTCCGGTCCTAATCCAGGGCTTTCTCCATAGTCCACACCCCTCCTTCGGCTTGGGGCCTGGAGAAGAGCAGGCAGGGTCCCAGCCCCACCCTCTCTCCCAGCAGCCCCTTCGCCAGGAGGGGACAGTGTATGGATGGTTGTCCTGGGCCTGGGACTGGCCTGATCTGGGTTCAGGAGCCAGAACTCAGGTGGCCTTGGGCGAGCCTCACCTCTCCCAACCTCGGCTTTCTCCCCTGGCAACTGGGCTGCACGGCCCGATGCGGCTGATACTCGGCTGACGTGTTCTGAGCACGGAGCCCAGCGAGGCCTCTGGGGGCCCCGCCCTCACCATGCCCCGCGCCGTCAGCAAACGTGGGTTCTGCCCCCGCTTCCCCGTTCACTCTCCCTTGCCCTCCCTTGCCCTGCCGGGAGCCTGCTCCGGGAGCCTCGGTGCACCCCGCCCTCTCCCCTCCGCTCAGACTGCATCCCGGTTCCTCCTCGGCGGCCGTGCTGGCATCTTGTGCGGTGTTGCAAGCCCCGGAAACCACACTGGGCTGTTTGCACCCGGGGCCGGGCCGGGGCGCCCGCTGTTGTACCCCTGCCCTGGAATCGCAGGCCCCGGCCGCGGTTTCCCTGTTGCCTGGCAGTCCCAGCGCTCTCTCTGTTTCCCTCTGACACGTGCTTGTTACCTCAGGAGCCCGCAGCAGTGAGTTCTCTGGCGCGTGGTGGGTGCCGTTTTGTCCGGATGACAAGGAAGATGTGAGCTGGTTGAAGCAAACGGCACATGAGTCAAGCCGTTTAGGGAGGCCTCCACGTGGATTCGGTGGCTCTGCGTGGTTGGGAGCCTTACACGTCTTCATCAGCTCTTATCATCCCTCCACCCCTTGGTCTAGAACAGGGGTTCTCAACCTGTGGGTCGCGACCCCTTTGGCGGTCGAACGACCCTTTCACAGGGGTTGCCTAAGACCATCCTGCATATCAGATATTTACATTATGATTCATAACAGTAGCAACATGACAGTTATGAAGTAGCAACGAAAAAAATGTTATGGTTGGGTCACAACATGAAGAACTGTATTTAAAGGACCAGAAGGTTGAGAACCACTGGTCTAGAACAATCTGCTGGAGCCCAGATCTCGGCCGGGGGTTGTGGTGCCCAGAAGACCCCAGAGCTGGGAGAGTTGTCATGTCTGTAAAGACCTCAGAGCTGGGCCGGGTCATCAGCTCAATGCAGGCTCCACTGGGCGGTGCCTGCTGGTTACCAGCTCCGGCCTGGAGGACGCTGCCTGGGTCTGGGTCCTGGCTCAGCCACTCCCAGGCTGGGTGACCCTGGGCAAGCTCTTCACTTTTCTGTGGGTTAGGTTTTCATCTGTGAAGCTGGGGTTGGTAATAACTCATTCAATCCTCATTAGAAACCAATAGCCCTGGCTGGCGAGCCCAATGGTTAGAGCGTTGGCATGCTCACTGGAAGGTTGCGGGTTCTACTCCTGGTCCAGGGCACATCCCTGGGTGGTAGGTTCGATCCCCACTCCCTGTCGGGATGTGTGTGGCAGGCAACCAATCCCTGTGTCTCTCTCACTTCGATGTTTCTCTCTCTCCACCCTCCCACTCTCGCTAAAAATCAATGGAAAATCCTTGGCAAAGATTAAAAACACACCGACAAACAAAAATACCCCCCAAAACAAATATGTTTTGAGTGGTCACAAACCTCTTACCTGGGGATCGGGGGACCCCACCGCGGGGAGTCCCCGGCGGGGGCCATGCTGATGTGATCTGATATGACTCTTCCAGGTGTTTTACGTGCACTTCCGACCCATCTGCACGGGGTTGCTTTGAGGTCAGGGCTGGTTTCAGCACTGCCGTTGCCCTTACAGAGGAGGGGCCAGGCACGGAGAGGTGAGGAGACTTGCCCGGGGCCCAGCAAGGATTGGGCAGAGCGGGATTCAGACGTGGTCAGCGTGGCTCCGAGGCCCCGTGCTTCACCGCGGGGCTGACCGTCTCTTGGCGTGGAGGGCCCAGCCGCATGTGTGCAGCTGTTCAGACGTGACATGGGCTGTGACGGGCGAGCACCAGGGCGGGCTGGGCTGCCTGTTTTCTGGCGAAAGCCAAGTGGACCTCCCAGTCTGGGCCTTGTGGTGTCTGAGGGACTGAGCCCCCTCCCAGGAAGGGCTGCACCCACCTCCCCCAGGAGGCCTTGCAGCTCCCCTCTAGCCTGCCCCCCACCCCCCCACTAGGAGGCCCCTGCTGCTTGCTGGAGCCCTGGAGCAGGCGGGGAGCAACGGGGCTGGGTGGGGGCAGGGCTCAGGCCGCCTGTTTGGAATTAGACACGAACTGAGCCCCATTGGCCAGAAACCGGCTCCGTGAAGCCAGAAAGCAGGGTTTGGAGACGGGCCGCCAGATGTCTAAGCACAGCCGACTGTCCTCCTGAGCGTCTGTCCTGGCCTCTCCCGTCCAGCTGTCCTTCCCAGCACCCCGCGCTGGGCTGGGACAGAGCAGGAGGCCATCCCCAGGAGGCGGGGAGGGAGACAGTGCACTGAGGCCCCATCCTGCGACCAGGGAAGGACTCACTCCAGGGGGCAGAGGGGACCGCCAGCAGCAGTAACAGTCTTGCTCCTGTGCTAGCGGGAGCCCGGGCTCGCTGTGTCCCCCCTGGGTCGGTGTGAGGTTTGCCTCCAGTTCACTGACGAAACCGGAGCTCCTAGGGGTGAACTAGCAAGACGCCGCAGTCACAGACTCCGCTGGGATTGGAACCCGGGCTTCTTGGAGCCCGGGGTGGGCTCCTGGGCCAGCTGCGGTGAGGGGCAAAGGCCTCCCGGGGAAGGGGTGGTCACACAGAAGGCCTGCGCCCCGTTTCCTGCCCTGTCCCTGAGCAGCTAGCTGTGTGGCCTCAGGCTTTGGGCCTAAGCCTCGGGAAGTGGCAGCCCAAGTCCTGCGAGGCTGTCTCATTGGGCACAGCCCTAGGTGTGCGCTGGGTCCCGGTCCGGGGAGGCCCCATCAGCACTGGGTGCTAGAGACGGTTTTAACAGGCCAACATTTTTTTAGTTGTTGTTTTAATGGTAGTTTTAATTTCTAATCATAAAAGTAGCCCCGTCCACTGAAGAAAATCCTGAAAAGAAAGACAAGTGTAGCCCTGGCCGGTTTGGCTCAGTGGATCGGGGTCAGCCCTCAGACAGAAGGCCCGGGGTTTGAGTCTGGTCCAGGCTATGTACCTCGGTTGCAGGCTCCGTCCCAGCCCTGTCAGGGTGCGAATGGGAGGCAGCCAATCGATGTCTCTCTCACATCAATGTCTATCTCTCCCCTCCCTGCCACTCCCTCTGAAAATCAATGGGAAAGTATCCTCAAGTGAGGATTAACCAAAAAAAAAAAAAAAAAAAAAAAAAAAACAGAAGAGAGAAAGAGAAGTGTAAAGGCTCTGGGGGAAGGGGGTGTCCCCCACACACGCCCCCTCCTGGAAAGTACCTCCCTTAGCATTTTGGGGCGTTTCCTGCCGCCGTCTTTCGGTTCCTGGATTGCTAACACGATAACTCTGGTTCTGGCGCTGTCCCCTTGGTGTCCCCAGTTCACAGCACAGCAGGTGTCCCCGTGTGCTGTTCTGCATGAGTGTTCTTAGCAAAGCAGCCTTTTCTGTCGCGTAGCAGATACTGCAGGCACTGCGGGGCCCTGAGCGGTGTCCCCGTGTTGGAGGCCGGCGCGCTCGCTGGCGTTTGCCGTTACACAGGACAAGCCTCTTTGGGCAGCGAGCCCCGTCTGCATGTGAGCCCCTTCCTGGAAGAGGGTTTGGTGCCCATTCGGGTGGCCTTTCGTGGTAGCCCCGGGCTGGCTGGAGCCTCAGCCTGGCCCTCGCCCACCCAGGGTTCACTCTTGCTTGCCTTTCTGTGCCCCTCAGGCTGCCCAGCAGGCTAAGGTCCCTTTGCAAACCCAGCTGTGGAGTCTCACATCCCTGGCATCAAAGCGCGCTCCCCTGCACATCAGGGGCGAAACTTGGGAGCTCGCTGAGGTCATTATGGGAAGAGCTGGGCGCGCAGTGGGGCTGAGCAGCGGTGGCTGTCCGGGGACAGGGCCCTTGCCGTCCTGCTCTGTCACTGTCTCTTTGCCTGACCGGCGGCCACGGCCTGGGAGGACGCCAGGGTGACTGCAGGGTGGGGCTGCAGCCCGCACTTCTATTTTCGGCTCCCGCAGCGCTGGGCAAACAGTGGGACCTTGAACGGATCGTGTCAGCCTCGCTGGAGGAGAGTAAACTGTCAGATGATGCGTTGGCCAAACCTGAAATTCTAGGACCAGGAAATTAACCAGGAAAAAGGTCTCCTTGCCGGGACCTTTCTAAGGTTTCTAAATGCGGCTTTATTACACAGGGCAGGTAATTATAGGAGGCCTCAGCGCGGGGAGCGCGCGGCCTGCTGGGTGCACTGCGGAGCTATCATCTTTCTGCTGACCAGGGCATCGGGACCCTGGCAGCGGCAGGCCTCTCCCCTCCGCTGGGCGGTGGGAGGCGGCCCTAGAGGGCTCAGCTTCAAGGTGGTGGCCCTCTACTACCTACCCCGGGGGTGGCAGGGCAGCACCCAGGGGCATGTGAGGAACATCAGGAAAATCATGGAGCAGAGGAGACCTTTAGAGCACCCAGTCCAGGGGTCACACAGGGTAACACCAATGGGTAGAGAGGTCTGGGTAAGGCAGTAGGGAGTGGTGGGGCCTGGGGCTAACTGGAAAACTGACTAGGTTCTGACCAAAGGAGATGACTCCGGGAATTGTCTCGATGGGGAATGCGAGCCCAGGATTCCTGGACCTTCCCTTCCTTTCCGAAGCGGAGCCAGAGGCCAGATCTTTGTGTGAGGTTTTTCTGCTTTTTAAAGGTGACAGCTAATTGGAAGTCCCGTCCACTGCTGTATGCCACAGACGAAACATCCCACGAGGCAACAGTTTATCCTGATTTAGTGCAGCTCTGGACAGATTAGGAAACCGAGGCTTGAAAATTGGGGACTTGACAAAAGTCGCCAGGGAGGTCATGACCCCAAGGGACAGAGAAGCTACACAGCTTGTAACGGCAGAGGCCAGGGTCAGGCTGGGGCCTTGGGACCCTCCTCTATGGGGCTGTCCAGCTGCTGTGCTGCCGGACGTGACCCTGGGATGGCTCCACTGAAAGCCCGACCGGGAGCGTGGTGCAGGCCAGACGGTGACGTGTGGCCAGTCTGCGGCCGACGGCTCACACATGGCGGGCAGGAAACTACACATGGTGGCCAGGGAGGTCCGGGTGTGCATTTGCTGAGCTAATGCTTTCAGCCCTGATGGTTGCCTGGCAACCTGGATGCAGGGATCGACTCTGCCATCTACTTGCTGTGTGACGTTGGACAAATGACTGCACCTCTCTGGGCTCACCTGCCCAGGGAGTGACACCGAGGGCACCTAATACAAGGCTGTTGGGGAGGTTGGACTGGCTTGAGCCACATAAAGTGTTTATGCTCCTATCATAGTTAGTGTGTGTTCGCTTTTGTATGTGAAGGGCCCAGCACATAGTAGGTGTTCAGTGAGGGCAGTCACCCTGTGATTAGTGACCAGAACAAGTCCGCCGTGTTCATCTTGCCGCTTTCACAAGGACCACACACTTCACGCAGATCCACCTCCCCGAACCCAGGCAACCTTGCTTTTCTGTTCTTGGTCAGCCTTGGCTCAATGAGAATTTCCCAAACGTGTCTGTCCCTCTTTTAAAAGCCCCGAGATGAGGATTCACTGCCAACATGTGCAAATACATCGAAGGGACTTCCTTCGGGTGCTAGCTGACGGTGCTGGCGTCTAAAGAGGGGTCGGACCAGGGCTTCCTTCCTGGGCCCCCTGTGGCGGCTGCAGCGGCAGCTCCCTGTCTACCTCCGCACATCCTGTTTGAAAAGGTCCCCAGTTGTTTGCGGGAACCACCCAGCGTGAGGACTCAGGAAGAAAACCGGAGGCCGGTCCCCTCCGAGTCCTGCTCTGTCCCCGGTCCTTCCCGATGGTGATGGATTTTGTCCTGTATCCTCTTGCTGCCCCCCCCTCCTCGCCTCTGGGCTGAGGGCCGCTGAGCCCGTCACATGACACCGTCGGTAATGAGAAGACCAGACACTGTGCCCAGAACGTGCCGTGTCTTCGAGTCACCTTTTTAAAAAATATATTTTTATTGATTTCAGAGAGGGAGGGAGAGGGAGAGAGGGATAGAAACATCAATGATGAGAGAGAATCATTGATCAGCTGCCTCCTGCACGCCCCACACTGGAGATCGAGCCTACAGCACAGGCTTGTGCCCTGAACCAGAATCGAACCTGGGACCCTTCAGCCCGCAGGCCGATGCTCTATCCGCTGACCCACACCAGCCGGGGTGGGAGCCACCTTCCTACCCACTCTCAGGGTCATGAGTGTCCCCACTCTCTGGAGGAGGAGACGGAGGCTCCAGGTGCTTTCAGCATCCGTTTCACGATGCCCAGCAAGGACGTGTCAGGACTGCAGCTGCCAGGACAGCCGGGCGCCCCCCCGGAGGCCCACCTGTAGCCGCAGGTGCTCCCCACGCTTCCGTGAGAGGCAGTGTGGGCCGCGACGTCGTTGCTTGTCCGTGGCTGAGGGCACCTCCACCTGGAAGCCCAGAGAAGCATTTGGAAGGCGGAGCTGTGTCCAGAAGGCCACCGACGCGTTACTCCGCAAGGCTTACCCTCTGACACTGAAAGGGGGTGTCGGCCGGGGTGCTCCCGTGCGCACAGGGGTGCAGCGGCTTCCCCAGGGACACAGCCAGCCCAGAGCATGTGACTAGAAAGGGACCCCGAGAGTAGCCTCTCACCTTTGCTCAGTGGT